CAAATGTCCCACAACATTTTTTGGACGGGAAGTTCGGTCTGGACTTGATCCATTGAGGAGTAATTATGATCAGTTCAGAAATCATCGGGGCAATCAAATTGCCAGGGCGGGCTTTATACGATGATTGACAGGTGGTCTTCAGTAACGTAATCCTCACGTCATCAAAGTGCGCTTGTCAGAGATGACTGCAGCTGGAGAATTGAGATGTATAGATTCCGCTGTCGTGTCTTTTGTAAAAAACAAAAAAAATTAAAATAATAAATCGACAGCGCATTCATTTTAATAGACAAACAGAGAACTGCAATCAAGGCATTTGTCGATCGGAAAGATATTTTTGCCGTCCTTCCTACATGATTCGGGAAAAGTGTAACTTATCAGCTGGCTCTGACGGTCGTTAAGAAGATGGGACGTAATGAAAAGCCTGTGGTCGCTGTGGTTTCTCCTTTGGTGGCACTCATGGAGAAGTAAGTAAAAGAAGAAACACTCGTTATTTAACTTCTAAAATAAATAAAGTAGGCTACGTTCTGTATTTGAAAACTGCGCTATGCAAAGGAGTTGACTTATGCGTTGCTCTGATTGGTTGGTAGGTCTACCGACTATCCAATTGAGTGCAGAGGGGTTTTTTTTGTCCTGGTTCGGTTACGACACGCCTCATAATCAAAGCCCAACGGAGGAGTTTCAGACTCATATTCTCTCTTGAATATGAGTATGACGAAGTCAGGCTATCCTTTTACTATTGTGTCAATTGAATTTGATTAATGTGCGCGAGCGAGAGAGAGCAAAACAGCATTTGTGTTGTTTGAAGATGCGTGTGGCGCTCTCCCTGTCAAGCGCAGCAGTCATTACGTCACTCGCCGATCAAAAAGGGCTTTGGCGGGAGAAAAATTTGAGGAGGGTGGCGTCGGGCCACGGGCCGGGGTCGTGCAGATAACTCATGTTGATGTGTCGGGTTATATCGGGTCCGGTTGTCATTTTCATGGCCTGTAGAGATAACGAGTGGTTATTTGCCAGCAGCCATATCACCCTGTACCCAAGACTGGTTGCCCACTGAAGCTAAGCAGGGCTGAGTCTGGTTAGTACCTGGATGGGAGACCTTCTGAGAAAGCCAGGTTGCTGCTGGAAGAGGTGTTCGTGAGGCCAGCAGGGGGCGCTCACCCTGTGGTCTGTGTGGGTCCTAACACCCCAATATAGTAATGGGGACACTATGCTGTCAAAAAGAGCACCGTCCTTCGGATGAGACGTTAAACCGAGGTCCTGACTCTCTGTGGTCATAAAAAATCCCAGGATGTCTTTGGAAAGAGTAGGGGTGTAACCCCGGCATCCTGGCCAAATTTGCCCGGTGGCCTCTGTCCATCATGGCCTCCTAATCATCCCCATATACACCAATTGGCTTCATCACTGTCTCCTCTCCACCAGTAAGCTGGTGTGTGGTGGGCGTTCTGGCGCAGTATGGCTGCCGTCGCATCATCCAGGTGGAGCTGCACACTGGTGGTGGTTGAGGAGATCCCCCTCTCTATGTGAAGCGCTTTGAGTGTCCAGAAAAGCGCTATATAAATGTAACGAATTATTATTATTATTATTATTTCAGTCAAAGTTGCTCTTCTATCAGCTTGAATCAGTCGGCCCATTCTCCTCTGACCTCGAGCATCAACAAGGCATGTGGTGGAACGGGAGCTTCGTGCCCTGGATGTGCATCCCACAAATCTCCATCAACTGCAAGATGCTATCCTATCAATATGAGCCAACATTTCTAAAGAATGCTTTCAGCACCTTGTTGAATCAACGCCACGGAGAATTAAGGCAGGTCTGAAGGTGAAAGGGGGTCAAACACAGTATTAGTGTGTGTTCCTAATAATTCTTTAGGTGAGTTTATGTATATATATATAGATAGATTTGTATCAACAAGAATTTGATACACTGCCGATTTTGCAGGTTTCCCCACTTACAAAGCATGTAGAAGTCTCATTTTGATCATAGGTACTCTTCAACTGAGAGTGATGGAATCTAAAACAAAAATCCAGAAAATCACATTGTATGATTAAGTAAATAATTTGAATTTTATTGCATGACATACGTATTTGATCACCTACCAACCAGTAAGAATTCTGGCTCTCACAGACCTGTTAGGCTACGTCCACATTAATCCGGATACATTTGAAAACGGGGTTTTCGTTTAAAAACGCTCTCCGTCCACACTAGCGTTTTCAGGCGTTTTCCGACATTTCAGTGTGGATGAAAAACTTCTAAATTCACTTTACTGCGCATGCGTGAAATTTCACAAAAGCTCACTGAGATGATACAGATGGGAAAATAAATAATAATGTTATCGCACAATAACTGGATAATTTTATTTAGCAAAATATCTCTCCATCACGGATGCGTCCAGGTCGCATTCAGTCACCATATGTGTGGTCTAAAACGCAACTGCTCTCCAGTTTTGCTGCAGGACAGCAAACGTAAGTACATTATCTGTCATCTTTGGAGTACAGAGCTATGAAGAATAGCACATATTAAGTAACATAGAAAGTAACATATTTTAGCAATAGTGTAAAAATGAATAACACATAACAGGCACAATACCAATAAACATGAATATCTATTGGTACTACATGGATCGCATCACTAAACTTACATCATCGTTTTGAAATGCCTCCGGTTTCACTGTCCACACAACAACGCGAAAACGGCGTTTTCAAATTTATCCACTTTGGAGAGCGTTTCCAAACGATACGTTTTTGTTGACTTAAAACGGCGTCTCAGTGTGGACGGAAGGCCAAAACGGAGAGAAAAATATACATTTTCAAACGAAAACGTATTAGTGTGGACATGGCCTTAGTTTGTCTTTAAGAATCCTCCTGTTCTCCACTCATTATCTGTATTAACTGCACCTGTTTGAACCCGTTACCTGTATAGAAGACACCTGTCCACACACTCAATCGAACAGACTTCAACCTTTACACAATGACCAAGACCAGAGAGCTGTGTAAGGACATCAGGGATAAAACTGTCGATGGATGGGGACAGGACAACAGGCAAGCAGCTCGGGGAGAAGGCAACAACAGTAGTGATGGCCAAATGAAGCGTTTCGAAGCATTATTGCTTTCTGATACTATTGTGTCGAAAATGGTTCATTACTCGAAGCTTCATTCAGATAGAAATGGCAGCACCATCTCCTGGTGAAGTAAATGTAATGCAACAAAGCTGACAACCATAAAATGCGAGTAGGCGTGTGTCAACGCCCCGTTTATGACGAGTTTACCGAAGCGATCAAAGCTGAAACAGTGTTAGTGCTGTGAAACTCATGTAGGTGAATTTTACAGATACGGATGAATTTCATGTGTTCACCTTGATAATAAAACAATAAGGATGATGTGTGTGTGTGTGTGTAATTATTTCTTTAGACAAGGACAGAAGGTCAGACCAGCTTAAAAAAAGTTGGAAATCACAGAAATTCTAATGGTTTCAATTAAAATACCAATAAGGAACCATTTTCTTTTAGCATTTAAACCATGTTTTCCATGAGTATTGAAACCATGACATTAGCTACTGCTTCTTTCCTATGGGAACCACCAGAACTCTGTAACTTTACTGGTGGGGCTGATATTTTTGTATGTTGAAAGGATGTGCTTGTGTAACTGGTTGAACTTCAATAATGTAGCAGAGGGTTTTTAAAGTTTCTGTCTTTCTCCATATCATTCACTAGATATGAAAAATATTTGTATGCAGAAATGTCAAAGAACTATCTTATTCGGGAAAATACGTTTAAAGTGTTCCCAAACTTGCGAACGACTTTCTCGATGGCTCATCACAACACTAAAATAAACTCAATCCACTCTCAATAATAACGCCAATCCAAACACGGAGTACTACTAACCCACGGTGCTGCCATGGTTTGGCTTCACTTTTATGAGAAATACAGCCGTCAGGTTTCAAACCTGTCAACACTGGATCGGGCTGTCAAAGCAGTCAGGCGGTTCACTACGGAGTGAACCAGTGTGTTTGCTTCAGACGTCATTTTCACGTGACTAGTGACGTAATGATACAAGCTCCGAACCAGTGGTTCATTACAAGGACCTTTCGAGTTTGAAGCAAGCTTCGGAGCGTCGGTGTCAGACGTCACATCACTAAACAACAGTGCAATCATTACAAAGTGGAAGAAGTTCAAGATGACGCTCAATCTCCCTCAGTCTGGGCCGAGATCTCACCTCGTGGGGCATCAGTGACCATGAGGAAGGTTAGAGGTCAGCCCAAAACTACACGGCAGGACCTGGCCAATGACCTGAGGACAGCTGGGACCACAGTCTCAAAGAAAACCACTAGTAAAACACAAGGTCCCCCTGCTCAAGGAGCACCTCCTTCCCTCAGTAAGAGCATTGAAGATGGGTCGTGGCTGGGTCTTCCAGCATGACAACGACCCAAAACACACAGCCAGGGGAACTAAAGAGTGGCTTAGTAAGAAGCATCTCAAGGTCCTGGAGTGGCCTATCCCGTCTCCAGACCTGAACCCCATAGGAAAATCATTGGAGGGAGCTGAACGTCCGGATTGCCCAGCGACAGCCCCGAAACCTGAGGGATCTGGAGAAGGAGTGTGTGGAGGAGTGGGCCACGATCCTGCAGTGTGTGCAAACCTGCTCAAGAACTACAGGCAACGTATGATCTCTGTAACTGCAAACAAAGGTTTCTGTACCAAATATTAAGGTATGCTTTTCTTATGTATCAAATAGGTATGTCATGCAATAATATGCAAATTAATTACTTAAAAATCATACAATGTGATTTTCTGGATTTTTGTTTTAGATTCTTCACTCACAGTTGAAGAGTACCTATGATCAAAATTACAGACTTCTGCTTTGTAATACTTTGTGGAAAACCTGCAAATCGGCAGTGTATCAAATACTTGTTCTCCCCACTATAGATAGACAGATAGATAGAGAAAATAGATAGATAGATATACTGTATAGATAGTTAGATAGTTTCCCACAGAAAAGCAGTGTCCTTACCAGCCGAAGCAGAAGATGAGGATCGCAGCACCGAACACGATCGCGACCGCATGCCGAAGCTCAGCAGAGACTCGATGGGGACCGAGAGCGAGCCGGAACCAGAACGCCACCGCGAGCCCAAACAGCTGGCAGGCAATGAAGTTCACCTGAAGAAGAGAGAAACAGCTCACAATGCTTCATTTGTCTCTGTCCCACTTTGTTTTCTTGATATGCTTTATATCTCTTTCACTGCTTCAGTTATTCACACCCTTCATTTCCCTTTTCCCACATCAATCTTCACTCCACACCCTATAATGACGAAGCAAAAATCAGATTTGTGACAACTTTATTTATTAAAATATTCAATACTTATTGTCTGTCAACTAGACTCTCTCCTGTGAAGGCGGAGACCATGAAACACTGATCCTCCACACCGGCGTGATGATGGAGAATATTCTGAATGTTCTGATCCGATCTGACCTCTGACACCATAATCACACAATGTTGGCTCGTTGGCCAGAAGAGAACTGAGACTGAGTCTGGTTTCTCACGAGGGTTTCTCCATTCTGTCCCTGATGGAGTTTAGGGTCCTTCACTGTCGCCTCTGGCTTTTGGCTGCTTAGTTGGGGACATTTAATTTAATATCCAACAACATTATTTATCTCTTGCATTGACATTATTATATGTGTAACGTTGAGGCAGGAGTGAAGCGCAGAGAATGCAAGTGCAAGCATTAAAGGGATACTCCACCATTTTTTCATCTTAAACTACGTTATCCCTTAAAGGAGTAGTTCGCTTTTAAAAAAAACTTTAGCTGATAATTTACTCACCCCCATGTCATCCAAGATGTCCATGTCTTTCTTTCTTCAGTCAAAAAGAAATTAAGGTTTTTGATGAAAACATTCCAGGATTTTCTCCATATAATGGACTTCAATGTGAACCAAACGGTTCAAGGTCCAAATGACAGTTTCAGTGCAAACTGTTCAAAGGGCTTTAAACGATTCCTTTAAGAAATTAGGTCAAAAACCTTAATTTCTTTTCGACTGAAGAAAGAAAGACATGGACATCTTGGATGACACGGGGGAGAGTAAATTATCAGCAAAAGTTTTTTTTTTAAAACTGAACTACTCCTTTAACTAAGATGAGTTGATACACACCTCTGTCGTCTCAGTGCGTGCGCTCAATCGCTCAATCGCGCGAGACATTTTGATCGCTCTTAACTGGCCCAGTTCATTGAATATGGGCCAAGCCGAGAAGCGACCAAACACTTCCACGTTTCCCCTATTTAAATACAGTTACTCAAGCAGTGTAACTCAACCTAGGACGGTGACACAAAATAAAACGCTGCGCTTTTCTAAGCGTGTAAAATGGATAACTATATTGTATGGCGGAATACCACAGCAAGTGATTGGGAGCACTTCGACTCGGCGCAGTAATATCATCTCCGGAGAGGGGGAGGGGGAGACGACTTTTCACGAGTGATGATATTACTGCGCCGAGTCGAAGTACTCCCAAACACTTGCTGTGGTATTCCGCCATACAATATAGTTATCCACTTTACACGCTTAGTAAAGCGCATCGTTTTATTTTGTGTCACCGTCCTAGGTCGAGTTACACTGCTTGAGTAACTGTATTTAAATAGGGAAAACGTGGAAGTGTTTGGTCATATCATATCACTTTGGTTTTCATTTCTTGTCCTCAAACGGAGCACTAATCTGTTTATTTTAAAGTTACAAATTCTACATTGATTAAAAAAGAAAATCAAATGTGTTTTTTTAATGGTAGTATTATTTTATACAGAAATAAATGTATAATTCAGATGAGAATGAAGTTAATGTTAATTAAAATTAAGAAAACAAATATATTGATCTGAAATATAGCAAATTAATTTTAAATTAATTCACGTACAATTACCAAACATATCTCAAGGTATCTTTGTTAGTTAACAAAGACCTTAATTATTTTTTTTTTAAAAAACTAATTAAAAAAGTTATATTTTATTCATTTAATGAATAAACTATTTTTATTATATTTTATTTATTTAATAAACTAATTATATTGTCAATGCAAAATTAACTGGTTCAATGCCTTAACTTTATTAATGAAACTTATTTAAAAAATACAAGGCTTAAGACATTTATATTCCTTTAATCTAAAATATGTAATTATATTGTCAATGCAAAATTAACTGGTTCAATGTCTTAACTTTATTAATGAAACTTATTTAAAGAATACAAGGCTTAAGACATCCTTTAATCGTGTAATTTTCACAAACACATTCATTCAGCGAATAACTCCTGGAAGAACTGGAGTGGAGAGAAAAGGAAACCTGTGAGACCAGTACTTCTACACCCGTTTCTTTGAAAGTTATCTGAGATACTTACTGGTCTGGCAAAGGCCACTTTTAAAGATCGTTTACTTTATAACCCAAGATTTAAAAGTGTCGTCATCAGTAGCTCGATGTGTTGATCTGACAGCTGTACCTGATCCAGAGGAACGCCGACCCGCTCGCTGACTGGACTCAACCAGGAGCACCCAGTGGTTTTAAACGCGATGTCCGTGTTCCCCTCCTCATTCTGCATGGTGTAGACCAGTGTATCCCAGTATCCCAGTATGACAGTATGCCAGTATCACCTCATAGACCTCGACCTCGCGTCGCCAAACATCCCGGGTGGGAGAGTCGTGTTTCAGATCTCCAGCATGATGAACACACGAGCTAAACACTGTGTAAAGTTGCGTGTGTTGAAGTGACAGAATGCGTGGCTGGAGCTGTCGTCAGCTGGGTGTGTGTGTGTGTGTGTGTGTTACTCAACAGCTCGCTTGAGATGCACTAAAGCAGTCTATGGTCGAGACTCGAGAGTGAGTCACTCCTCAGCAACGAGAGATCACGTGTTTCACACTCACGCGCTTTGAATACTATCTAATTCATTGCTTTTATTTAAATATTTACCGGATATTTCATTTCTAGTGTTTTGTTTTGTTTTTTAAATAGGCTAATTAATAATTACAATATGCAATGTCAATCCTGTGTGGACGATCAGCGATCCAAATGAAATGAATCTGATGTGGTTTTTACAGCATAGTCTATCTTGAATCATCCCTGAATCTAATGAAACAGTTTTTCAACACACACACACACACACACACACACAAGGCACTTGAAGAAATCCCTCTTGCTCTACTGTACGGCATGTGATCATATGTTTGGTGTTTGCTGAACTTCTAACTTTAGGTCAGCGGTCTGTGCCTTCACGGAAGCTGCTAAACTCAGGGTTACTGTAGTTTCCAGTGTACCAAACCAAACTGCTCAAGCTTTGCTTGTCTGATATCATCATCAGGATACTCATTTTTTTGTGATAATACACAATATTTAAAAATAAACAATACATTAGTTACATGTGCGATCATCTAGAGATATTGTGCGGTTGTATTTTTCTAGCGCATCCTTTTTTGGTTCTTCTCCACTTCAGGAGCATTCAAGCAGAAGCTGTGGCGAATCCACCATAATCACGTCCAGGTCCTTATTCCGAGTTGCTTTTCGAAGCTTTTGCACACCTCATGTCTGATCGCTTCTCAAGGCCATCACAGGAGCAGAAGATCTGCTTTATAATCTCACAAAAGGCTCTTCATTTCACTCCATGTCTGTGAAGTGGAGCAGGACAACGTCCCACCAGTGCTTGTTTTACATTCTCATCCACACACGACTTTTGGGCGCAGGGTTTTACTGTGTGATAAATACAATCAGCACGGCAAAACGGTTCATGCTCGTCATCTCCAAATCATGACCAGAGACGGATAAAATTTAAAAAGACGGATAAAAAAGTCTGTTGTTTAAAACAAATACAGAACCAATAGGGGAGAATAGTTATGCTTAGGCCTATGCCTGAAAAAAATTCAGATTCCGATTTGAATCTTGTGACATATAAACGCGCACATCAACCCGATCACTTTATTTATCATTCATGTAAACACCTTGATCGGATTAATCAATCGTATTGATTTCAGTCCGATTATGTCCATGTAAACGTAGCTAATGTTTATTAGGCATCAATGGAGACTGTATAAGATATTATTGTCACTATATCCGCTTGGAACCTATAATACTAATTCATCGATTGCTCAGTTCTTGATCCTAGCCTTCCTCTTCTTAAGCCACATTTCTGAATTTACAGAATCTTCAGAATCAGAATCTTCCAATTGGCATGTTTACATGACACATTTTTTTTATTATGATCAGCCTTTTATCCAAAAATGTGTCCGATCACAGCTGTACTATAAGTACTTTGGGTTCCTGATGAAGCACTATATTAATACTGTTATTATTAAGTTGGCTTGAGAAAGCCAACTTACTGAAATCCTATTTAAACTTATTAAGTTGGCTTGAGAAAGCCAACTTACTGAAATCCTATTTAAACTTATTATTATTATTAAGTTGGCTTGAGAAAGCCAACTTACTGAAATCCTATTTAAACATATTATTAAGTTGGCTTGAGAAAGCCAACTTACTGAAATCCTATTTAAACTTATTAAGTTGGCTTGAGAAAGCCAACTTACTGAAATCCTATTTAAACTTATTAAGTTGGCTTGAGAAAGCCAACTTACTGAAATCCTATTTAAACTTATTATTATTCTTCTTATTTTTCTTACCCAAAATTTTCTGACTGCTACTCCTCCTAGAGCTTTAACTCTACAAACTCCAAACTCGGGTCAGACCTTCAGACTGTTCTGACTCGAGTTGCTATATCTTTTTAGACTGATTCGACTTTCAGATTTCTTAAAAATTAATATTAAAAATCATAAAAATCCCATTGACTTTCATTGCAGCATGGTCAAATTGAGCCAAGACTACGGTGGCCCAATAGCGTACAGCAAAAACTCAAATCTAAATTCCCTGAAGCCCTAGACTCAATTAAACTACCATTCTATATGTACTAATGAACTTATCTATCTATCTATCTATCTATCTATCTATCTATCTATCTATCTATCTATCTATCTATCTATCTATCTATCTAATCTTTCTTTCTTTCTTTCTTTTTTTCTAACTAATCTATCCATCTTTCTTTCTATCAAATCTATCCATCTTTCTTTCTATCAAATCTATCCATCTTTCTTTCTACCTAACTAATCTATCCATCTTTCTTTCTAACTAATCTATCCATCTTTCTTTCTAACAAATCTATCCATCTTTCTTTTTAACTAATCTATCCATCTTTCTTTCTAACTAATCTATCCATCTTTCTTTCTAACAAATCTATCCATCTTTCTTTTTAACTAATCTATCCATCTTTCTTTCTAACTAATCTATCCATCTTTCTTTCTAACAAATCTATCCATCTTTCTTTTTAACTAATCTATCCATCTTTCTTTCTAACTAATCTATCCATCTTTCTTTCTAACAAATCTATCCATCTTTCTTTTTAACTAATCTATCCATCTTTCTTTCCATCAAATCTATCCATCTTTCTTTCTACCTAACTGATCTATCCATCTTTCTTTCTAACTAATCTATCCATCTTTCTTTTTAACAAATCTATCCATCTTTCTTTCTAACAAATCTATCCATCTTTCTTTCTAACTAATCTATCCATCTTTCTTTCTACCTAACTGATCTATCCATCTTTCTTTCTAACTAATCTATCCATCTTTCTTTTTAACAAATCTATCCATCTTTCTTTCTAACAAATCTATCCATCTTTCTTTCTACCTAATCTATCCATCTTTCTTTCTAACTGATCTATCCATCTTTCTTTCTAACAAATCTATCCATCTTTCTTTCTAACTGATCTATCCATCTTTCTTTCTATGTAACTAATCTATCCATCTTTCTTTCTAACAAATCTATCCATCTTTCTTTTTAACTAATCTATCCATCTTTCTTTCTAACAAATCTATCCATCTTTCTTTTTAACTAATCTATCCATCTTTCTTTCTAACTAATCTATCCATCTTTCTTTCTACCTAACTAATCTATCCATCTTTCTTTCTAACTAATCTATCCATCTTTCTTTCTTACTAATCTATCCATCTTTCTTTCTAACAAATCTATCCATCTTTCTTTCTAAATAATCTATCGTTCTTTCTTTCTAACAAATCTATCGTTCTTTCTTTCTACCTAACTAATCTATCCATCTTTCTTTCTAACAATTCTATCCATCTTTCTTTCTAACAAATCTATCCATCTTTCTTTCTAACTAATCTATCCATCTTTCTTTCTAACAAATCTATCGTTCTTTCTTTCTACCCAAGTAATCTATCCATCTTTCTTTCTAACAATACTTTCTTTCTCTTTCTTTCTTTCTTTCTTTCTAACTAATCTATCCAGCTTTCTTTCTAACTAATCTATGCATCTTTCTAAAAATTCTTTCTTTCTCTTTCGTTCTTTCTTTCTTTCTTGATGCTAATAACATGCTAATCATGCTAGCTTTCTGCTAATCATGTTAGCTTCTTGTTAAAAACATGCTAGCATGATGCTAGCTACATGCTAATCATGCTAGCTTCTTGCTAAAAACATGCTAGCATGATGCTAGCTACATGCTAATCGTGCTAGCATGATGCTAGCTACTTGCTAATCATGCTAGCATGATGCTAGCTACATGCTAATCATGCTAGCTTCTTGCTAAAAACATGTTAGCATGATGCTAGCTACATGCTAATCATGCTAGCATGATGCTAGCTACATGCTAATCATGCTAGCTTCTTGCTAAAAACATGCTAGCATGATGCTAGCAACATGATAATCATGTTATTATGATGCTAGCTACATGCTAATCATGCTAGCATGATGCTAGCTACATGCTAATCCTGCTAGCTTCTTGCTAAAAACATGCTAGCATGATGCTAGCAACATGCTAATCATGTTATTATGATGCTAGCTACATGCTAATCATGCTAGCATGATGCTAGCTACATGCTAATTATGCTAGCTTCTTGCTAAAAACATGTTAGCATGATGCTAGCTACATGCTAATCATGCTAGCTTCTTGTTAAAAACATGCTAGCATGATGCTAGCAACATGCTAATCATGTTATTATGATGCTAGCTACATGTTAATCATGCTAGCATGATGCTAGCTACATGCTAATTATGCTAGCTTCTTGCTAAAAACATGTTAGCATGATGCTAGCAACATGCTAATCATGCTAGCATGATGCTAGCAACATGCTAATCATGCTAGCATGATGCTAGCTACATGCTAATCATGCTAGCTTCTTGCTAAAACATGCTAGCATGATGCTAGCAACATGCTAATCATGTTATTATGATGCAAGCTACATGCTTATCATGCTAGCATGATGCTAGCTACATGCTAATCATGCTAACATGATGCTAGCTACATGTTAATCATGCTAGCTTCCTGCTAAAAACATGCTAGCATGATACTAGCTACATGCTAATCATGCTAGCTTCTTGCTAGCAACATGCTAATCATGATACTAGCTACATGCTAATCATGCTAGCTTCTTGCTAACAACATGCTAATCATGTTAGCATGATGCTAGCTACATGCTAATCATGCTAGCTTCTTGCTTAAAACATGCTAGCATGATGCTAGCAACATGCTAATCATGCTAGCATGATGCTAGCTACATGCTAGTCATGCTAACTTCTTGCTAAAAACATGCTAGCATGATACTAGCAACATGCTAATCATGCTATTATGATGTTAGCTACATGCTAATCATGCTAGCTTCTTGCTAAAATATGCTAGCATGATGCTAGCAACATGCTAATCATGCTAGCATGATGCTTGCTACATGCTAGTCATGTTAGCTTCTTGTTAAAAATATGCTAGCATCATGCTAGCAACA